AACTTGATTCGTCAAATACCCGGCCACGTTTAAACACAGATGTAGAATAGTTTGTCCTTGAAAGGAATCAAAAAGAAATATGTACAGGCAGTGTGAGGAATTTCTGGCATGGTTTTCCTTCATTAGCTCCCCCGAGTTATGTGAAAATGAGGCCCAGTTGAGGGAAATTCGTGGAAACTCTCCGACAACGAAACAGTTAGCAGTGAATGTTTTGAAATTCTGCAACAGTGAAGGGGCAACCTACTTTCAACGACGTCGTAGACGACATCCATCGCGGGCGGTGTTCACCTTCTATCTGAAATGACAAGAAAAACTCTTCGCCATGGAAGCATTTTTGTCCTTCACCAGCTTAGCAGAGTGCCAGAAAGCAATTAAGTTTACCAAGCAAAATCATATCAAACGTTTTTTTTATAGAAGCAATAGAAAATTACAAGAAAATGATGGAAGTGGATCAAGAAAGCCAGCAGGTTGTACAAGATGATACGGCTACCGCGGGACAGAATTCCGACCTTCGAGCTCCGCCAACGACAGCTGGATATTCCACTCCACAGCAGTCGAAAACGAGCACAGATATGTGAGTGACATATCGCATTGTTTCTGTTTGCTTCGTTTTCGGGGTCCTGTGGGTATTGGAACTGTGAAGTTCATTGCTTTTCCCGCTACAATTGAAAGGTACGAAATTCTTTCGTAATTAACAATGTTTTTTTTTCGTTTCCGTTAAATTTCAGTTTCTTCTTTGTTCTTTAGAAAGCGTAGAAATGGGTGCTTAGTCCCGTTATTTTATGGATGGGCTTTTCCATATTTCTTGGGCTGGGCAGTCTTCTCAGACTCAAATCATATCCCAATTTAACGCAGAGCTTAGAGTCATGAAACGCTAGTTTCTAGGTAAAGTAGGGCCGTTGCAAAAAATACGTCAATGATTTTCTTTGAAGCTTCCTTTTAAGTTTCATAGGAGACTAACAGCACTGTTGAAATTCAAAGAGGACTATAAACTGAGATAAGATGGGAGTACCATGAGCTTCTTTAAGATAAAAAACAGCCATAAACTCGTTTTAATAGTGCTTAATGCGGAATGGAATGCTATCGGCTGCCAGTGATTACTCTGGCTGCAAAACTCTGCTTTAATTAGGTTCACTTGGCGGGCTGGTATTGAAACTTTAGCCATTAAGAGTGACTGGTGTCGAGTAGCAATCGCTGCATATTTTTCTCATATGACTACTGGTGGAAAGAGCAGAACCTGAGCTATGTTTGGTGGAAAATGCGCTCTGGAATGAAGTTAAGGGTTTCTGCTTCCCCACTCTTGGGAATCAAACGGCAATTATTACCTGTATCACCTGTTGCACTGCTGCTAATGACACACTTCGAGCGCGAGCTAAACGGCAACTACTTGAGAACTTCATTTAATCTATATGGACAGGCATAGCTAATGTTGGCCTAGCGAAGGAGTTTCTTCGAGATTCCCATCAAAATTTGGTAATCTTGCGGTTCGAAGTCGTTCAGTAGATAAGGGGACAAATGCATACTTTCTCGTGGAACCTTCGCGGTAAGAGTTGTCATTAAATGATGTTAAGCTTCACTACGAAACTATGAAGTGAAGGTGGAGGAGTGAATCAGTGGTCCATTTAGGTAGGTTTTTGTCGTCGCCTTGCAGCCCGCTGTTAGTTTAAGGGCATGCCGGCGCTGTCATCGATTCGCCGGTCTCGCAGTAGAAATGAGTGAACGGCATTAGCTTTTCCCACCCTCTTATCGCAAGGTTGGGCTGTCTTCTCTTATCAAGCCGACTAGTTGCGGACAACCTGTACCCTGCATACTAAAATGGTAACCTCTGATGATGAGCACGAGCTTTTCAATAATGGCGGAACGTTCTCAAGGTAATTGTTTTTGTGCCACTGGTTAACGCGTACGGTATTTTTTTGAAATAATTTTTGGCTTCAATTTTTCGCACATTCCCATTCATAATGAAGAGCTCCTCTAGTATGTGGAGTAAATAGCTGAAATAATGTTTAGAACTCACTGAGAATGATCAACCTTTTGGGATGCGGCATGCCTTTAATCTTCGTTAGTGATTATGTGATTTGATCATCGGACCAAGCTCAAGGCTATTTATCGTAGATCTTCCAAGATCGTAATGTTTACCATGGCTAACGCGTTAGCTTCTTTACCTTCTTCAGAGCCCAAAGGAAGCCGAAAAATGTGTAGATCTATAGAGTCTTGACGTCAACTCCCATAGACTAGTAAACTCTCGGTCGGTGTCGATCAATGCGAAGTGTGTGACGAGGCTTGCCATCAGTGTCGGTCACCAAGGAACGACAGGGATCACCACTAAACCGTGAATCCCAGTAGACTGAGTATTACCACTTACACCTTCGACCTGGACTTAGTGAGGCTAGTGACCACTACTGCATCTTTACTGTCGCTATTTCTGTAATAGCTGAACTGGAATCTCAGTTGTCGAAGAGTCAGTGTCATTTTCAGTTCTTCAGCGTTGCAAGATATTGGAGACTGAGCGCTTTACTTCTTCGATGGACCTCCTCGCAACCCCGTGAGGCTCATTGTCATTTTTTATCTCAGGCGCCACTGAAAAGTTATATGGGAGGCAGTGCTGTTGTGAGTTCAGAGTGCCCCTCTTTCATGCATGCTAAAGAATGCATAGACAGACTACTGCGCACTTCAGGGAACACGCAACTGGGCTCTTTGCAAGTGGAGTGTGGTCACGCCCAGCTTTTTGTGCATGTCAAGTTTCTGCCCTCACCTCCCCCTTCCTCACGAATTCCCCGATTCTCGTGACAGTATAGTAGCGGGCAGCAGTCCCACTTACATACATTTCTGTTCAAAAAATGCGGCGTGCCCACCCCACTTGTGTAGCACCCGCAACAGTACAATTTGCTTATAAAACTTCTAAGGTAATTTTATGCACCCAACCACACCTCTTGGCAATATGATTTTGATGTTAAAACTTCCATAAATTCACACCTCTATAAATGTTATGATTACTACATCAATCATTTCAGCTCTCTGAAAGAGTAAAGGTGAGTAAACGAAATTAGTAGTTGGTTCTGGTCAGCTGTGGGCACCTTTTTGATCCCTTCGTAATCCTTCTTCAATGGGTCAATAGCAGCGTAGCAGTTTATAGCCCTTGGAAAAGTATAAGCGCATAGTTCCTATCCGGAGGGTATAAGATATAAAAATCAAGTAGCAGTCAATGGG